CATCCCTTGCCCCAGAGCCCCTATCTATACCTTGTGGCTAATAGCCACTGATGGACCTCTGGTCCATATGCTTATCTAATTCCCTTTTGAAGCCGTCCATGCTTGTAGCCGCCACCACCTTCTGTGGCAGTGAATTCCATGTGTTAATCACTCTTTGGGTGAAGAAGTACTTCCTTTTATCCGTTCTAACCCAACCGCTCAGCAATTTCATGGAATGCCCACGAGTTCTTGTATTGTGAGAAAGGCCTGTATTGTGGCCTGATCCAACATGGCTTCTCTTATGTTCTTACGTCTAGAGCAGGTGATGCTCTGTGTTCTTGGTGCCGGGGGGGGGCAACAGTGGGAGGGCTTCTAGTGTCCTGGCCCCACTGCAGGACCTCCTGAAGGCTCCTGGTGTTTTTGGCTACTGTGTGACACAGAGTGTTGGACGGGATGGGCCTTTGGCCTGATCCAACATTGGCTTCTCTCTTATGTTCTTATATTCTTAAGCAAGGTCCCAGATGCACGTCCAGTGTTCTAAGTGCATTGGAAGGAGCCGTCTGGCAAAAAGGAAGGGCTCCTATCTGGCCCCAATGTTTTTTGTTTTTTTGGTTTTTTTAATTTAAACTATTTTTATGCCAAACCTTTCCCCCGGCACACCTGGAACCCATGGAGGGTAACAACCTTTAAATCCTCAATAAATCATAATCAAAGTAGTATATGTTGGAAAATAGGCAAAAATACTTAGATATTCAGAGTTTGCAATGGATCTTTGCTTCACTGGAGAGTCCCTATGTAAAAATCTTTATTTCTAAGGGAAGGGTACACAGGGAAATCTGCAAAATAACAGAGTCACCTAAGGCTACATCTTTACACATCAGAACAGACTGACCACACGGTCTACAGCAATGGAGAGTCTTCTTCTTGACCCCTAGAAGGAAATCACCTGAATACATTAACCAATCAATGCTAGTGAACAGACTTCAGTTTCAAGGGCTTTGTTTGCATTGGCTCTGTGCCAGGTTTCTTTCCAGGTCAGGCTAAACAACAGCACACATGGTAAACAGATTAACCCTGTAATGACTGACACTTAGACCTTGCAACTCACAGATTTCCAACAGTATCATGACAACATTCTCCCTAAAAACAGCAGAATATATGGCTAGAGAGCCACCATGGAGAGTGGTTAGAGTGTCAGACTAGGATCCGGAGACTCAGTTTCAAATCCCTGCTCTTTCATGGAGGGCCACTGGAGGACTTTGGGCCAGTCACATTCCCTTAGCCTAACCTACCTCGCAGGATTGTTGTGAGAATATGATTATTTTTTATTATTTATCATACAGCAGAGTTACACACAAGAAGCATATAATAATACACAATAAGTAACCAAGTAGATAAAGCGGTTATGCAGACCGATTGGGCAATCCCCCTAAATACTAATATCCAGGGGTCATTTCGTAGAAAAAGAGGTGAAAGAGCTCATTAGCATAACTTATTAGCATAACTTATTTGCATATGCCACACCCCCTGACATCACTGGAAGTGTGTCAGAAGGTAACACTCACCGCTCAGGCTCCACTTTTGGATTGCTAGCTATTGGGGGGAGGGACGTGTAGATCTGCCCTCACAGAGGACAGAGAGCTTGTACCTGAAGGACTCTGGGGCAAGTGATGCTCTGTCTTCTTGGTGCTTGGGGGGGGTCAACAGTGGGAGGGGGCTTCTAGTGTCCTGGCCCCACTGCTGGACCTCCTGATGGCACCTGGTATTTCTGGCCACTGTGTGACACAGAGTGTTGGACTGGATGGGCCTGTGGCCTGATCCAACATTGGCGTCTCTTATGTTCTTATGTACCTGAAGGTGGGCCGGGGGGGGGGCTCTGCAACTTACCTGGCTACCTCTTGCTCCTTGTGGCCCGACTGAGGGCTGCTGGGAGCAGGGGGTGGGGCTTGTTGCATGTGCCCGCCCCCTGGGCTCCTTACTGCAGGAACTCCGCTCCTGTGCGCTCCTGCAGGAAATGACCCCTATCTATCTAAATTTTCAGTCCACTCAAATTCAGCTGGGGAGAGTACAAAGAACTCGGTCACATTGGGTGCAATTCTAGCTCGCCTCCTTGTGGTGCACCCTGGATAACACTAGAGAGCTGAAACTTCTGGCTGCCAGATGATCATAGGATCTCCTGGCTGCACGACACATACGGAAACAACCAATCAATCAAACAGTCCTTCTAAGGCCTAAGTCAGAAGGGGTATAGGAGATGGCATCTGAATCTGCCGAAAGAATACTGAGGGCAGAAGCAAGTCTGAATGTCAGTACTTGTGAGGATAAAATGGAAGAGGGGAGAAGGATGTAAACCACTTTGGGCCCCCATTGGGGAGGAAGGTGGGAGTACAAATGAAGTCAATAGATGCATAGTCTTGAGAAGAGAGAGCCCATAACAAGCATTCAGTTTGTTTGGTGTCGTGGTTAAGTGCACGGACTCTAATCTGGGAGAACCAGGTTTGATTTCCCCACTCCTCCACTTGCACCTGGCTGGATGACCTTGGGTCAGTCACAAGCTCTGGCACAGCTGTTCCTGAAAGAGCAGTTTGCATCAGAGTTCTCTCAGCCCCCCTCCCCACCTCACAGGGTGTCTGTTGTGGGGAGGGGAAGGGAAAGGAGTTTGTAAGCCGCTCTGAGACTCCAAGTGAAGGGCGGGGTATAAATCCAATCTCTTCTTCTTCTTCTTCTTCAGTCCCTTCAATCAGGGGTGTTGAACTCATTTGTTATGAGGGCCGGATCTGACAGACCTTGCCGGGCCGGGCCGGGCCGGGTGTGTCATAAAATGTAATGCCAGGTACCGGAGGTATAGACTTTATAAAGGACACAGACACAAAGGGGTTTTTTTTACTTAAAATAAAAAACGTGCTTAAAACATCAGCACCCTTGCAATATTTTGTTCATTTATCAGTGTCTGATAACTTGACACCTCTTGCTCTGAATTATTGCATCAAAATGTCTGTGCTGTTGCAATCCCGAGTAGGCTGTTCTGGTGTGCTACCTGTAAGCTGCAAACCTACGATGATGCAGCAGCAGCAGCAGCAGCAGAACTGGAAGAAGCAGCAGAAGACAGCCAGTTCCACTGCGGGCCTGAGAGAAGCCCTCTGGGGGCCTGATCCGGCCACCGGGCCGCATGTTTGACACCCCTGCCTTAAATAGTTCAATTTCCAATCTCTCTGAAAGGCAAGCTGTGTTGAATACAGGACAGTTCTGAGGGAAATGCATTTTTACACTCTATAACTGCAGGATACGTTGCCCTCTGACACTACCAATCTTTCCTAGAGTACAGGAAGAAGCATCCCACATCCTGTTTCTCTTTTCCGTTCTAGGATATGTTAGTTGGAATGATGTGCATTGCAAAGAAGCGCGTCCATACCTCTGCAAGTATGTACTTTAGTGCCAGCAGGTGCTTCTCTTACATTCTAGAAAGTACTACAACAGACCTATGCTTTCAGACAAGAGAATCTTCAACAGAACGAGTCCTTCCTTGCAAGAACCCGGACCTGACCCCCTACATTATAAAGTGTCATCCCTGTAGATTGCCTGTGTGCTAACTCAGTTATGAATCTTGTCTGTAGAACTGGATAATCATAACAGTAAACTCTGTCTCTGGCTGTTTGCATATCAAATAGGATTGTCATAGTTATTGTCTGTTGTATAGCCCAGATGAACATCAACAGTCTGGCTTGTTCTAGAGCAGGGTTCCCAAACATGGTATCTGTTGGTTCCATGGTATCTGTCGACACATTTTCTGGTGCCCGCCAAGTGCCTTGGGAAAGTAGGTGGGTCAAAGTGGGGCTTTCCCTGTAAATGCTTTTGATTGGCTGTGCAGATTTTGAAAAGGGTCGCTTTGTCAGCAGCTGCCACCAAAGCACTAGGATCTTCACTGTGGGACTGTGGGACTGAAGGTAAGCTCCAGCAGCCATTTTGTGGCTGACTTTGCCTCCTAGGGCAGCCATTTTGTGGCAGCCATTCAGCTTATTATTGATGGGGCTGGGCTACAACTTGAGAATGAGAACAGGGTGGAAAAGGAGGGCCATGTGAGAAGACCAGTGGGTTGCGGGAGGTGGAGACCCTTGGAGAAGGTGTCTGTAGGCCCAGGACTAGAAGCCTCTGAGTCAAGATGATGGAGCTGGTGTGCTTGGTGCTAAATAACGATTTAGATGAGGTGGGTCTTTCAGGAACCTGGTGGGATGCAGAAAATTAGTGGGATGTAGATAACAGCTCTACTGTAAGGACAGGGAAGGACATATTGGTGGTGGTGTTGCTTTGTATATCAAAGAGGGCTTAAGGTCAAGTAAGCTAGAAAATTTCTGGGGAAGAAACTCCATCAGAGAATCACTGTGGATGGGGATTCTGGGCCTTAAGAGTTAGCTAAGAGTGGAGTGTAGTTTTGCCCATCTGACCAAAATTTTAAGGTGATCTCAAAATGGAGAGGGAAATTAGGGAGGCAACAAAAGCAGAAGCTGCTGTAATACTGGGCGACTTCAACTCCCTGCATATTGACCAGGCAAATGTGTGCTTGATCCATGCTGTAGAAAAAGAAGTACCTAGACATTGTTGTACATATTAGATTCCATGTAAAAAATGAAGTCAAATGAAGAGGAAGATCTATATTTTATTTTAATTAATAGGAAAACAATTGGACCAAATAACTAATCAAAAATTGACAACTTTCTTCTTTTTCTTTTTTCTCTTCATCTTCTTCTTCTTCTTGAACATATTCTGAGCATATTCAGAAAATACATAATATTTTATACATGGACTGACATCATAAAAAAAATTCAAAAAGCATAATTGGTTACAAAAGACAGTGGTCATTTGAATAATAAGCCTCTGATTTGTCAGATGTAAAGAAACATATATCTACGTCAAATCTATGTAAAACCTAAGTGTTTACTTAACCTAACCTAAATGATAATGGGCGAGGATTCTTCATATTCCAAACAAAAGTATTTTTTTCCTGATATGAGACCAAAATTTTATCTGATCGAGACATTGCAAGGTTTTGCCCTTAAGAACTACAGAATCATGAACTTTATACCTATTATGTTGTCTGCTAACAATATCAGACCTACAAGAGGAAAGTCTTCTCTATAACACGCCTTTCTAACATCCTAATAAAATATTACTTAAAAGAGAAATCCATAAAACCAGGAAAAAATATGAATAATGAACAATCAAGAAAAAGAAAAACTGTATAAAAAATCTTTATGTTCCGATTCATACTACAGAGAATAGTTACAAGAATGGGCACAGTAATAAGACCAATGAAAAAAGGAAAAAGAACTGTGAAAATTTAGCGCTTGGTAATATATTCATAAATCATAATATACAATAACAGAAAATAAGTAATATATATATATATATAGTGAATGTAGACGGTGGTCTCCGGAATGGTGTGCCATTTCGACAATGATCTTCTTCTGAACAAGGGTGTGTACAATGGGCATTCAGCAATTATAGCCCACTGAAGAACTTAGCTGTAAGCTGTAACGATATGAGCTTGTGTTGTTCAGAAGAAGATCGTTGTCGAAACGGCACACCATTCCGGAGACCAGGGGTCGTTTCGTAGAAAAAGAGCTAGGGGAACTCATTAGCATATGCCACACCCCCTGTCATCACTGGAAGTGTGTCATAAGACCACACCCACCACTCAGTTAGTCTTAGTCTTAAAGGTTAGTCTTAAAGGTGCTATTTGTTAGTCTTAAAGGTGCTATTTGAACTCTTGGACTATTTTGCAGAAACAGACTAACACAGCTACCTCGGGGAAGCTCCTGGATGAGGCTGGGAGTCCTTGCGGAGGCCACGTGGAGTGGCCTCGGCCAGGCAGAGGGGGAGGACGCCAACTTACCCTCCTGCTTCTTCCTCCTTATGCAACAGAATGATGCTGGAAGCAGGGGGTGGCCGGAAGAAGGGGCGGGGCTTCGTCGTGTGCCCCGCCCCCTGCACCTCACCCCGGGGGACTGCGTTCCCCCGTGTTCCCCCCCGAAATGACCTCTGCCAGAGACCACCGTCTACATTCACTATATATATTACTTATTTTCTGTTATTGTATATTATGATTTATGAATATATTACCAAGCGCTAAATTTTCACAGTTCTTTTTCCTTTTTTCATTGCCCGTTCATACTACAACATCCTTAATGGGAATGTTCAGCATTCATGTCAAAGGAAAGTTGCCCCCAAAGTCCAAAACAATTCTAACTAGATAAAGAAGGATTCATCAGAAGGAAGTGAAAGGGGACAATGAAGACACTTAAATCCTTTCAGGATGCTTGGAAACTAGCCACAAAAAGCAGAAATACTTTTTTTAAGTGGAAGGTCTGCCCCATTGGAGAGGATAGAAGGCAGTCGGTCTATTCAGAGCTCACA